GATATGAAAAAGAGACTTCAGACACAAACGTTTGACTGGTGGTATGCAAGATGTTTGTGAATCAGTGGGTATCACAAACACTGTCAACGCATGTTTTTCTGTAATGCTAACCGTGCTTTAAGCAAATGTCAAGCAGAAAATGACGCCACTAGACTGACACGTGAGCATGTGGATTCTTCAGTTAAGTTTTGTTTGGCAGTTGTTGCATATTCTGCAGAAGTAGCACAGTGAAGAAAGTGTCCGGCAACAGATAGAACTTGCAGAAATTCCAATCAAATGCATACAAGAATATAGAGAAAAAAGCAATGGAACTGGGTGATGAAGACTTGTTGTGCAAAAGAGTTGATCTATTTGCCAAGGAGGCACAGTTTCATGATTGCTGTTGCAAGCATTACTTAGTAAAGCGAGCACCCCAGCCTGACACTTCAGCTGCAGTGTCTGAAAGAGCTACAAATAAGGCACTGATCAGCAAAGCTTTCACTCGGGTGCATGACCATATAAAAACTGAAGTTATTGAAAAGGGCCAGGTTGTTAAACTAGCTCATCTCACAGTTTTGTATAATGAAACCTTGATAGAATTCGGAGAAGCAGCTGTCGCTGTCGAGATCACCATAACCTGAGACAAAAAATTGAATGCTGCTCTGATCTCAAAGATTCTATCGACTTCTCATCTTGCCTTCTCATCCTGGCCTTGCATGCATTCACTGGTGCTGACTGCACCAGTGCATTTAAAGGCAAAGGGAAGGTGCAACCAATGAAGATTCTGAATCAGAATTCAAGATTAGTCAGATCTTTGCTGAAGTGGGGAACTCTTGGGAGCTTGATGAGCGGATTCTCAGTGGTGTTGAAGAGTTCATGTGCCGCCTCTATGGTTTCAGTCGTCGAATCAAGAAGGTTGATGAGGCAAGAGAGATTAAAGTAAAGAAGATGTGTGGCTCAAGCCTTGAGCTTCGACAGGGTCTCTCCGTTGATCTTTCGACCTTCCCACCTTGCAAGAGGGTCCCCTTACAGCACATGAGAAGAGTCAACTTCCAGGTATGCACCTGGAAGAGGGCACATGAGCACTACCTGGAGATCCCATCCCCTCTCAACCATGGATTTCATATAAACACAGAGACTGGCAAGCTAGAACCACTATAGTTTGAGGGGGACGTCATCCCCAAAGCCCTCGTTGATGTCTTGGCAGAAGAATGTATCGATTGTATAGATTCCTCACATAGTCCACTAGGATGATTTCATAAACATATCATATTCTTTGTCTACTACTTTATATAGAAAAGCGACACTTTTATTAGCCACCAGCTCCCACCCCACACCACTGAAGAGAGGTCTTCCTAAAAGTCAATTTTTTAAATTAAGGAGGATCTGTTATTCTACTGCAGACTTTATGGAAAAAGCTATTGATATGAAATCTAGATTTGTTCAACGCGGATGACCAAGCCTACAACACAGCATTCAAGAAAACCCGCACTGAACTATTATCTACCAGCAAAATAAACCAGAAAAAGTTTTCTGTCACTTGTATGACTACTTATTCTCCCCATTCACATGTCATCAAGTCAGTTTTTAAAAAACACTGGCATATTCTACAGACAGATCCTGACCTTTCCTCTGTTTTTAAAGATCCCCCGCTATTTGTGTTTAAACGGGATCGTAATTTGAGAGATTTTTTGGTACATGCTAATTTTACATACAAGAACAGTCCTGAGCAACCTATACAGACTCTACTGGCAGTCCACTCCCAAATGAAAATTACTGTTGTGGAAACTGTGCATACTGTAACAATTCCTCTAAAGTGACACACTTTTGTCATCCACATACAGGTAAAAAATTCCCTATAAAAAGTGTCATCACCTGCTCCTCTACTCACGTTGTTTATTTATTGCGTTGTCCGTGTGGATTATCTTATGTTGGTAAAACTACCAGAAAACTAAAACAACGCATTAGTGAACACAAGAGTGCTATTCGTAGGAATGACCAGGATTATCCTGTTGCTGTTCACTTTAATGAGCTAAAACATGACATTTCTTCCTTACGGTTTTATGGGATAGAAAAAGTTTTGTTACCACCTAGTAGTGGTGATCATGATCTGTTGCTAAAGAGACGTGAAGCCTATTGGATCTTCACTTTACAAACTCTTCCTCCAAAAGGCCTTAATGATGAGTTGCTCCTCAGTGTGATGCTCTGAGTACTTGCTGCGATGTTGCCCAGGGCTGCTTATTTCTTGTTGTATCCTAACCTTGTGACCATTTTGATGTACCTTAAAATAATGCTGTCTTTTTTATTATCCAGACGTTGAAGCTCCTCTTGGCAGAGCATATTACACTGACTGGATCGTCTGGAGTTCTATTTATAGATATGTTTACTATATCTTTTTCTAAATATTTACCTATTGTATAATCACTGCTCTTTGGTGATATATTTGTTGTGACAGCAGTTACCCTTTTTACTTTACTGCTGACATAATTTAGATTTGCTCCTAGACTTAGATTCTAGATCTGCAATTTTTCTTCCCTGTAAAATATTTTTCCTCCCTTTAATACTTTTCATTGTATTGGTCTCTTTTGTAGCTTAGTTAGGTTTTATACACTGTTTGGTTTTGTTCTTTTTGAATTTTGAGTATTAAATGTATTTTTGATGTATCTTTTCTTTCTTTCAATTATTCAATTCAATTCAATTTTATTTATAAAGCCCAATATCACAAATCACAATTTGCCTCACAGGGCTTTACAGCATACGACATCCCTCTGTCCTTATGACCCTCACAGCAGATAAGGAAAAACTCCCCCAAAAAAACCCTTTATAACGGGGGGAAAAAAACGGTAGAAACCTCAGGAAGAGCAACTGAGGAGGGATCCCTCTTCCAGGACGGACAGACGTGCAATAGATGTCGTACAGAACAGATCAGCATAATAAATTAACAGTAATCCGTATGACACAATGAGACACAGAGAGAGAGAGAGAGAGACAGATAGAGAGATGCAGGTAATGACAGTAGCTTACAACAACATTATTGAAAGTAATAATATTATAGTTATAGTTCTGGCTACTGTGGTACAATATGTTGAAAGTATGTATTAATATCTGGCAGTATACTTGTGTGACAATAGTCATATGTGTATAATAACAGTAGAAGTATGACTAATGACTAATGATGGCAGTAGCAGCAGGAGGCATCTGGCAGGACCACGGCAGCAGCACAACCACACACGTCACGCTGTCCAGGCACCGCTGCGATATGAGTTAATCTGAGAGACAGTGGAGCACAAAGGCTCCGGAGAAGAAGCCGAGTTAGTGACATCCAGAATGGCCGAGTTAGCAAGATGCAGTAATAGGATACGAGAGAGAGAGAGAGAGAAGGAGAGAAGGTGCCCAGTGTATTATAGGGGGGTCCTCCTGCAGACTAGGCCTAAGTCAGCCTAACTAGGGGCTGGTACAGGGCAAGCCTGAGCCAGCCCTAACTATAATCTTTATCAAAGAGGAAAGTCTTAAGTCTAGTCTTAAATGTGGAGACGGTGTCTGCCTCCCAGACCGTAACAGGAACATGATTCCACAGGAGAGGAGCCTGATAGCTGAAGGCTCTGGCTCCTGATCTACTTTTGGAGACTTTAGGGACCACGAGTAACCAATTATCTTTTGCTCATGGTGATAATTGTTTTCATGTCATCTGGATGGGTTGTATATCTTGTTGACTGTTTCCAATCACACACAGCTTGTGATGCTGATTACTTGTCCTGTGATTGGTTACTCCTGTTAAGTTGTTTATCATTTAAGTCTGCCTTGTACTCAGTGCTTCAAGTTGTAATGACCGAAACGTAGCTGCCTTGTCCCATTCAATATTTTGCAAGTTTGGCAACAGTGTGCGGGAATCTTTGTTCTTTCTTTTTTCCTACGCACCTGTTCAGGAAGACTCCTCAAAGGTGCATGAGCCAGTTTTTTTGACAACAAATAATATAAAACACTATTATGACCAGAGGTCAGAGTACAATAGATGAGCAGTGAAATGATCTAAGACCCTAAGAAATGTATTCTGTTTTATGTTTGAGATGTATTTTAGTTCCTCCATTTGGCTGTACTGAGTGTTTATCTTGGCTGTTGGTTAGTAGCCTCAGGCGGACAGACATTTTTTTGGATCCTGGTTGACAACTGCTGGTTTGGCGTAACTCGTAATTAAGCAAGTTTAAAACTAGAGTTACTGCCTTGCGGTTGTTTGTCTCTGTGAATCAGTCATGCTGCAATTAAAGTTTACATTCCTGTCTGTGCAGACTCATTTGTAGCCATGACAGCTGACGATGCCTCAAATATGGATGTTGCTGCAAAGAAACATACTCTGAAACAAGGATGCCTCACACACATCTTCGACACAGCGGCACAGAAGATCTACACAATCTGCACAGTTTCAATGTGGACACCCAAGATTAGTGTCAACAATTCGGTATCTAACTAAATGTCTCACCTTCTGTTCCTGAGATATGATGTTAACATTATGATGTCACAGTGAAGTTTACCTTTTGGATTTCAATGTCAGTATTTCATGATGTTATTCTACTACACATTTGTGTGAAATTTTGTCACAGTTAGCCTATGAATTTATATGGGCAAAAAGGTGTTTAGTGAGGTCATTGTGACTTTGACCTTTGATCACCAAAATCTAATCAGTTCATTGTTGAGTCCAAGTGGATGTTTGTGCCAAAATTGAGGAAATTCCTTTAAGGCTTTCTTGAGACGTCGCATTCACGAGATATGACAAGACCCAAGGTCACAGTGATCTTGACCTTTGACCACCAAAATCTAATCAGTTCATCTTTGCATCCAAATGGACATTTGTGCTAAATTTAAAGTAACCCCCTTAAGGTGTTCTTGAGATATCATATTCATGAGAGCGGGACTGTCAGACAGACAACCTGAAAATATCATGCCTCCAGCCAGAGCTGTCAGTGGTGCTGAGACATAAATTCACATGAAGGTTATAACATGGAAACACTGAATGCAGAAAAAAAGATTATGTAGTATTAAAAACATTATTTATTTAGCATCATATTTTGCATCTGCTTTTTTATCATCTTCCATACAAAATGTTCTAATGCCAACAGTTTTGAACAAACATTTCCTCAAGAGGCAATCTCATGTTTGCAGTGCAGTATGCCTGAGGGGGAACACAAAAACAGACACACTGGATTTATACTTTTTAGGAGGTAGTATGTTTGCACATGTGTAACAACAGATCTCCCACACTAAAGGCAAAAGTAAAATTACCTGACCACGTGAATTAACTGCCAAATGGTCAGGCGCATTTCAGTACCAATACAAGTCTCTTTATCTTTCCACCTCTTGCACTCTTACACTGGAAATCCTGGGACAGCTTTGGTTCAACGTCCCTGTTAATATGAAAATCAGTATGCAAATCTGTAAGTCCCTGCGTTCTGCAGTCATAAAATTTTCACCTGTGCCATGACAAGACTTTCAAACATTCAGTGCACACATGCAGAAAATAAGATATAATTTGCAAACAGATTTTCATAGCGCTTATCATATTTACATACAGCAGATAGGACAGCTGCCCACTATGGCTTCAGTCATGACAGCAACAAATAGAGCCACTATTAGACGCTTAATGCAGGAGACAGGACTTACTTATCCTTAATATGCAAAAAGAGTGGTGGTACTTTGCACGTGATGGTGTCAAATACTCGACTGTCCTTACGGAGCGATTGGCTCCGAGGTGCTCGCAATGAAACACCAGCTCCCATGTCTGATGCATACGTATCATGTTTCCAGCAGAACAAAAGTCTGTCCCCATCAGACATGTGAAACTTGAGATTAAAGTTTCTCTGCTCACCATGGCGACTCGTGGAGCGGCTCATGCTCTTGCACCGTTCCTGGCCTTGCCACGTTGGCTGCCAGTGGAAACTTGAGCCTGCTCTGAGTCTTATCTGACATCATCTTCACTGATGATGTGACACGCAGCCTTTGCATTTTCTCTCTGTGCGTCTGAGGCAGCAGTGTTTGTAGTCTCTGGGCTAGCTGCCGTGCCAGCCATATTGACATTATTTTAGACAGTAGTCTGGGCCAGCAGTGCCACCGGAATTTACCAGTTTTTATCCATCTTCTCATCCCTCCAAGTTCCTGTATTAAACCCCTGAAATCCTGCGGTAAACAGTACCGAGGGACACCTCTGAAGGCCTTTGGGATGTCCCTGCTGTGGCAAAGGCCCTGGAAGTAAACAAGTGCCACTCCTTGACATTTGCCCTCCTGCAGTGCCCCCTCTAGGCAGGCCAGAGCAGCTGTAAACACTGGCGTTATCACTGAGGAAGGTTCCCTCTGGGTGTACAAGTCTTTATCATCACGTATTTTATAATCTTTTTTTCCTGCAGCTTTGTCTTTTTTCCATTTTCCCAATCTTCTTCCATTTAAATTCAAATCCTCTTCTGTCATGTTCTCATGTCTCACCTCTGCTTTGCTGTAATCCTCCTCTTTTCTCTCAGTCTTACCCATGTTTGCCCTCTCCTCCCTCCACTTCTCATACATCTTTCTGGCGTCAGGACTCCAAACAATCAGCACTCTTCCTTGTGCCTTACGCACAGCTTCCCACTGCCCGTACAGCCAGGGGAGTGGACCCAGATCTGCCACTCCAGTCCCAGCCTTTGCTTGTGAGGTTTGAGCCCATAAAGCCATGTGCACCGCAGCACTTAGCTCCCCCTGCAGGATCGAGGCTAATGCACACACGGCAGACACGTGGGCTGACTGCTCCGATGAGCACACCAGCAACACTGGCTCCTGGATACAGAGCAAACCTGGAGATAAAGGAAAAGATAGGGGAGGAAGAAGAGATTGTGTATTATTTGTTGGCTGAATTTCAATTCTTCCTTTGAAGGAATGCTTCCACTATCCCCTGTGTCCTCATATGAGGACATCACATTTTGGGTTTCTTTGACCTTATACTTCATTCTACTTGACTTCTTAGGTAGACTTACACAATTTGTGCCGTATAATCCATGCCTCATTTATCCAGTCGTATTCTCAGTGCTTCCCAAACAGACAGACCTTTCAGATGGGGAAATGCTCTCTTCAAAGCCAGACTCCATTGACAAAAACAATGATTTTACCTCGCTAAGCATGGCAGCTGCTGGTCTACCACTGCATCGATCAGTTAGTGTGTGCAATTGTGTGACTTGGGTAAATCAGAAAAGAACCCTTTAAAACACCAAGGCTACATGATAACACAAACAAAATGCCGATCTAGGCAGCGGTAGACCAGCAGCTCCTGTGATCAGATTACTGTGACACTGATAAAATTGTGATGAACTTACTGATATAACTACTGTTTTTGTTAAGGGAGTCTGGCTTTGATAAGATGATGTTAGGTAAGTTTCATTTTAAGTTTAGTTCCCTGTCTGTTTGGGAATTACTGAACACTGGACAAATGAGGCTTGGATTATACTGCACGAGCTGTGTAAGAGTTTGTGAACAGATGTTTTTAAATATAGCTTTGCTTTTATTAAACGCGGTTGCCTATAACTTCAGTTCATCTAGAACAGTGGTTCCCAACTGGTCTGTCCATGGGGTCCAGATTTCTCCTTAGTCATTAGTTCCAGGTCCACACAGTTTAATATATTCAGCGTCATACTTGCGTTTGGCCATGTCGTCGAGCTAGTTTGCTGTCTCTGTTAAGTAGCTGTCCATTATTCACTCACTCTACAGCAGATAACTTGACACATTCTTGAGTCACTTCCGGTCTATTCAGAACGGAACTGCGACCCACCAGTTGGGAACCAGTGATCTAAAATTTTCTCTATTTTTGGATTCTTCGGTCACCGGAGGCATGCAAGAAAAACAAAGTTTCTACACAAATTCAGTTTAACACACGGGGAGTAACTGATACACAAATGGTCATTTGGGGGACAAAGTATACTTCTAAGATTGTAAATGCACCACAGTTGCCAATCAAGGACACAAAATGAGGCAATATAGCAGCAGATTTTAAACAATTTGAAATCAAGAGATGGATACATGCGACCACTCAAAGACACAGAGGCAGCTGAACCAACCTGCAGCTCCATTCTTGGTGAGATGGTGGATGAAAACTCCCAGTAACACAACAATAACCACAAACTCTAAAGCTGCCACAGCATACATCCCCCATCGATTGTGCGTGTCTGCAGAAAACCAAAAAATTTGTTTATTTTCTTTGCAGGAGTTGTGTGTGCATTAATGTACTCGTTAACTGATGAGAGCAAGTGTATGTATCTTGAGTAGACTCACAGTCTGGGCACAGAATTCTCCTACCACGAAGTGCAGGATCCGATTGCCACACCTGCGGAGAAGAAGGAAAGAGTAAGGAGAGAAAGAAAGGTAATGCATCATGTCCAGAGACGTCCTTTTCGGGCATGCACTTTACCTGCACACACGGCTTCTCGGCAAGAAAGCTTGTGAGAGGCACATTTATCCTCAGCTCAGTCATATTCCCTCCCTGTAAAATGAAGTTGAAGAGTCAAATATTCACTCATGTCTTTGCTCTCTTTACCTCTTTCTCTCTCACAAACGTGCGTATGCTCACCATTATCAATGAGTGGACCTGCCCCATGGGTGTACATCCACTGTTAGTAAGGACGCACAGTTGAGCTGAGAACTTTGCAGGAACATTAGAGGTGAGATACAAAAAGACACTCTGCCTGCCTGGTCCAATATACACCTCCCATGAAGACATATCTGTGAAGGACAAGAGAGGCAGTCAAGAGATGGACACACTGAGATGCTTCAAAGCTATAGGAAGATTCTTTTTATACTATTTGACTCACCAGGCTGGAAGGGACAAGAGATATCATGACTGCCTGGTAGAGAAAACTGCAAAAAATGAACACAAATAAATCAGTTTCCTGCTAAGATGTAAACAACTGGACAGCACATTTGGATAATTCTCACCTGCACACACATCTGAGGGTGTTTGTCCACTGCAGATGTGTCATATATCTGTGGGCATTTGAGAACACTGTATTAATTTCAGTAATTTCAGATTAATTTCAATCCATCACCGATACCACCAGCAGTTCTGCCAAACGTACCAGGTTTGTTCCATCGTCCTCGTCCTGCAGTGTGGAGTTGAGCACAGGTATGCAGAGGTGTTCGTTTTGCCTCCAGCAGAGGGAGGCAGAGACGTTCAGGTTGCTGGCAGGACACTCCGAGCTCCACTTCAAACTTGACTCATACAGTGTGACTTCAGAGGAGGGCCACACATCTCTGAAATCTGTTGAGACAATGTGGACGCAGAGGGTTACAACTCTGTGACAACGAGGTGCCTGGCTGTGCCAAGAACCACCGGTATTCAAATATGCTCAGAATGTCTCCCTCAATATATTAACTAAAAATAATATTCTGCTAAAAAGTGTGGATGACCTCCGACCCTTCGGCAGGTTGACCCATGGCTATGGCCTCGGACTCTACCAACATAAAATTACAGAATACTGTATCAGTAAACACAATCAAACTGACATATAAATGTATGAATGCACTTTTATATCCCAGTAGTTTTATAGTTTACTAATAGTTTACTAATGCCTATACACTTTATTGCCAAGAGTTAGATAACAGGATGATTGCCACTCCCGTATCTGCTCAGTAAAAATGAAGCTACAGCCAGGTGGTTAGCTTAGCAACTGGAAACAGGGTAAACATTTAGCGTGGCTCTGTGTGACAGTTCTACATAACCTTTTTTTGACCCTGAACAGTGACAGAGCCATGTGTGCTGTTTCCCCCAGTTCTCTGTGCTAAGCTTGCATAACTGACTTTTGGCTGTAGCCTAATATTTACCATACAAATACAAGATATTCTTTACCTTCCAACTCTCGGTGGGAAAGCAAGTATGCCTGTTTCCCAAATTATCGAACTGCCCTTTTCAAGTTAAGCTGCAAACGTAAAAAGTTGCAGCAGAATACCTGATTAGCAACTTGTCATTTCAGAAACAATATAATTATTTCTGTGGAAGTAGTTCCACTGAAGGGAAAGTGAAAGTTAAAAGCGAAAGTGAAATGTAAGAGGAAGCTTACACCTACTGCTAGCTCACCTAGCACCACTGAGCTAGCTAACGTTGGGTCCATGTCATTGGTCCAACATCCCATTAGTCCAACGGTCCTCGGTGCTGAATGGCTCCCGGTGGGCGTATTTCTACCTTGATGGTGCGCCGCGACCGGCTCTGGGTCAGCTGGGAAAGGCTTGAGGCGGAGCAGGCTCACAGCTTATTTGTTTGTCACTTTCTTTTTCATTTTAACCCACACCATGATCTTTTCCTGACCCTAACCAAGTGGTTTTTGTGCCTAAACTTAACCAGACCTTAACCACGGGGCATCATGATGATTTCGGAACAACGGGACTTCGGAACAATGGGTTTAATATGGTCGGAACAATGGGATGTCGGACCAATGGGATGTCGGACCAATGGGCTGTCGGACCAATTGGCTGTCGGACCAATAGGATGTCGGACCAATGGGCAGTTCCCCTAACGTTACAGCTAAGTCGAGGAGGATGCAATTAATGTTTATATCTTGCACTGTTAACAAGCACAAGCCTCTCCTTCTTGAGTAGATGCACACTTCTACTGCTAGCTCACCTAGCACCACTGAGTTAGCTAACGTTACAGCTAAGCCGAGGAGGATGCGATTAATGTTTACATCTTGCGCTGTTAATGAGCACGAGCCTCTCCTCCTTGAGTAGATGCACACTTCCTTCTGCACTATGATGCAGCTGGCGGGTGTAGTTTGATAGACAGAAAATAGTTCCTACATGAAACTGCTCACAACAAGGTCTGTGGATTATCTTCAGTAACCAGATCATAATTTCTGTAAAGAGACATTGCTGTTGAGTTTTTCAAATTCATTTTTTCTCTCTCTTTTTTTGGCACTTTGACATCTCTACGGCTGATATCTCCAACACTCGGCAACTCACACCAAAACAATTTAGATCAGTGGTGTCAAACTCATTTTAGTTCAGGGGCCACATGCAGCCCAGTTTGATCCCAAGTGGGCCGGACCACTGAAACCACTGCATAATCACCTGTAAATATCAACCCCTTCAAAGTTTTCTTTCATTCTGAAAACGTCCATGCATTTACCAGACAAATACGAAAGAAAAATGATGAGCAAATGTCTCAGTTTTTCTACATTCGGTCAGTCTACTACAGACTTTCATAACGTGACTTTTTTTCATAATTTTCCACTAAAGTAGAAGCTATTGAAGAAGCAGGTTAAGTCATCCCCTGTCTTACAATCTGAAGTTTTTCTCAGTGCCTCAGCAGCAGGGCTCCACTAATACTGTTTTAAGACAGAAGTCTGATACGATAGGTCACATATCGCCCCAATTCTCACCTCCCTCCACTGAGATCCTCATGCCTACCCTCACTAGCCGTCCCTAGATCAAGGCTGGTAACTAAAGGGGGCCGGGCTTTTGTCATCGAGGCCCCGAGGCTCTGGAATTCTCTGTCTGAGACTAGGCTGGCTAGCACATTACCCATTTTTAAATCATTGCTTATAACATATCTTTATTGGAAAGCTTTACCATCTAATGCCTGATTTTTGTGATTTGTAACTTTTTTGTTTTTTTTCCTTGATATTGTTGTGTTGTCTTATTTCTATGCACTGTGTGAAGCACTTCGCACCAAAGTCTACAATGGTAAAAATATGGGTTTCTCAAGAAAAAGGTTGGGAACCATTGATCTAGAGGGCCCTGTCCCTTGAACTCCTCTATAAAAAAAATTGCACATGAAGTTGACTAAAGATTTGAATACAAACAACAGCCTCATTAGTTAAACAACCAAACTAGAAGGCGAAAAGAAAGCAAACTTTTTTTTAATTAAAGCATGATAGTATTTATTTGTGGCTGCTGTGTCGCATTACATTGTATACTGAAGGTGTCTCTATTTACCCAGCGTTAACCACAAGAGCTTCTTTGCTTCTCGTGTGTGTAGCTGCTGCATACAGCTAAATAATATCTTTATCAGTCAGAAAAGTGGTTGCTCCAACTTTTGGGGTGAACTGTCCCTTGAAATCAACACTAGCGAGTGAATCTGTGCCAATAATTAATTCAAATTTGACCTCATCTTGCTGGTCTCGTCCTGGTAACACTTGCAAAATGACAGCAATAAGAAAACAGACTAAGGTTTGTGCACTAGTTCACAGTACACAACCAGAAAGACATACAGTAACCTCTCTGACCATCAGTGCAGCTGTTATCCCCTCAAAGCTAGAAAAAAACGGCTAAATGTGTCACATTTAAAATGCTATTGATTTAAGGCGTAGGTTACCGCAGTAAAGGCCACTCCCTGATCGTTTACAGTATTTTCCTGTAACGCCTCAAACATGGAACGCCCTTGATTCCAACATTAGGAGATGTGGCCTGTAACTTTATCAGGCCCGTCTGCAGGAATGGTTTAATTTACCACACTGCAGAATCCTACATTAGATGAGATATGATTTTAAACACCTCTAAGTTAGTGAAATGTTAGAAATAGACACAGAAAGAAATGACATTAAGAGTCGTGATCTGTAACAAGATCTGAAGCTAGCCTTGCGAAAGACTAATTTTAGAACGTGAGACACCACCCAACAGATGAAGGGGAATACCCCTGCTCTTTACTTCTGAATCATGCAATTATAAACCGATGTTAAAATTACAAAAATTTCCCAACAAGATGTTTTTATTTTCAGTCTGACTCTGACATGAATCATCCGTCACACTCACCTGTGAGGCTCTGAAACGGGCACTTTTTGTGTCGGCGGGAATCTGTGCGGGTGTAGTATACCTGTCAATGCAGACAATACGTGCACAGGCATGAAAAAGAAACCGATTAAACAATAATCATTTTGCCTGTGTCAAGGAAATGATATGAAGCTGAAAGTACCTGCACACACACGCAGGGCAGCAGGTAAGGGATGTCAAGAACAGCTGATCGAGACTGAGACGGATCGATCTGAGAAGAACATACAAATATGTTACTGAGAAAATTGAATTACTGAAACATCTATAACTACTACAACAAACTCATTTAACAGATTCCCATAAACAACACAAATTCTTTGAAAAGGAGTAGGAGGAAGTATCAACCTATTTATTCCACCCCTTTCCCCGACTCATCAATTAATTCATAACCTTTATCTCATATAAGTTACATATGAATAAGACTACAGCTGAGGAAACAACAGTGGAGGAACTGAAACTTTTGATCACAGTAGTCACTCTTTTGACTCTTACACACACTGGTCTCACTTGTATAGTAAATTATAATCACAATAGTGAAAATAGATTATTGCCGATTTTTCTGAAGACCCCGTGAAACTTCCTCCAGGATCGCTGTGGATCCCTGGTTAAGAACCCCTGGTTTTGCGTAACTCGTGAACCACTTAAGTTACAGTTTACATCCATGTTTGTCCAGACTCATATGTAACCATGACAGCAGACAATGTTTCAAATAAAACAATGATGTTTCACACACATTTTGGAGCTGACAGCACAGAAAATCTATATAATCAGCACTTTCAAGAGTATCATCAATTAAGTATCCGACCAAACGTCTCCCCTTCTGTTCTTGAGATATGACGTTGAATAATGGCCAGGAAAGTGTTTTTGGAGATGATGTCAAAGTGAAGTTAAACTTTGACCGTTTGTATATATAAATGTCATCACATCATCATTTTATCCTGTTACACATGTGTGTGAAATGCTGCCATATTTGCATGCCAAGCATTTTTTGTGAGGTGACGGTGACCTTTGGTGACCAAATTCTGATTTATCTTTAAGTCCAAGTGGGCGTCTGTGCTACATTTGAGGAAATCCCCTCAAGCTTTTCTTGAGATATTGCGTCCATATCACGAGAATGGGATGGACGTGCGGACAACCCATGGCTATCGCTGGCAAGGAGGTGTTAAAAAATAAAAAAATGAGAGTGCACATATGCAGATAAATGTGCCTGTGATATTTACAGTAATCCGGGGGGAAGGTGCTCCGCAGTTCCATGCAGTTCTTTGGTAACACCATCTGGCGTGGACTTTGTCTCCAGGCTCCACAGTGACAGAGATGGATTTAGACGACTGGTTCACAGACAGATCAAAGTCTGGTATAGGATCTAAGTCACACACAAAAAAAAAAACAAACAAAAAAAACAGAGGATATAATCATCACCGCTCACAGATCAAAACATACAGATGGGTGATGCGCTGAGAGAGAAACTTACAATAAGAACAGAAAAAATAAACATAATAGAGAACAAATTGCAGCACAACAGAGGATGAAGTCAGTTAAGGTGTCAAATCAATCGTACATCAACTTCAAGAGGTCTTCAGCAGCGACTTAAATTTTCCATAGTCTGAGCAGTGTTTATTTGAATAGGCAAGCTGTTCCAGAGTTAAGGGACAGCCACCGCAAAGGCTCGGTCACCATTGTTTCTGTGTCTAGTTCTAGGAACATCTGGGAGCATCTGATTAATCAACCTTGGTGCTCTAAGTGGAGTATGAGGATAAAAAAATCTGCCATATAATGCTGCATTTATACTTCGGCGTTCGATGTCGTAGCTACGGCATAGCCTGACATGCACCTCCCCAGAAATGTAAACACGTCGCAGCGATGCAGACCTCCCTCAGTGGAAACGAAGCTTTTATTTACTTTTATTTCACAGATAAGAAACAATAAATTGTAAAGACAATAAAGCCTCCACAAAATGGCATTTTAAGTCTTGTGTGTGATTTATCTTGGCTTCACATGGGTAGAGGAAATCTCCTCTCATCGCTAGGCTAATTTATACAATGTAGCTATAATGGCATAGGCTGGCGCTAATATCGTTAGCATGTTGTATTTGTTTGTAAAACGTGTTTAGTATAAGACAGTTGTTTCATCAGTGAATCTTGTGAGCTGTAATGGTGCCAGATTATGAACCGTTACCTTTGTTAAATATTGCTGTTGTCCCTGGTTTTATATGAGAAGAGGAAAAGGTCGCTAGCTGCTAGGCTAATTTTTGCAATGTAAAATGCCATAGGCTGGCGCTAATAACGTTAGCATGTTGTATTTGTTTGTAAAACGTGTTTAGTATAAGATAGTTGTTTCGTCTGTGAATCTTGTGAGTTGTAATAGAGCACAATTATGTACCGTTACCTTTGTTAAATGTTGTTGTGTCCCTGGTTTTATATGAGAAGAGGAAAAGGTCGCTAGCTGCTAGGCCAAGTTATGCAATGTAAAATGCCATAGGCTTGTGCTAATAACGTTAGCATGTTGTATTTGTGGGGAAAATGTGTCCAGATAAAGACAAGTGCTTTGTCTGTCAATGCTGAGAGTGATAGTGAAGCCGACTTGTGTGCTTGTGTTTGAAATTGTCTCTATTAAGCCATGTTTAATGTGTGTTTAATGTGTGTTTTGGTGTGTTTTGAATCAACTAAACTTTACAGCACTTCACAGAGACCAACTAGTGTTTTGGAGGTGTAACTGCAGAGTGACACAGACACAAAATTGCACGAGTCCGTGCTTAGGCTAACGTACGGCGTAGGGTCTGCCACACGAGTGCAAATCCTGCTGGAGGCTGCAGTCAAATAATCTCTTAATTATTTTATTGATAAATCAGTTAGTTGTTTGGAAAAAGGTGAAAATGTGTTGTGCTTGAAACCATTTTGCTAATGGAAGTATGTGTAAAAAGTCTTCCCTTAGAAAACACCTCAAATAAAGCAGAGATTCAATGTCCAGTTGCTTTTTTTTTTGTCAAATATCGTAGATAAGCAAATGTACACAATATGATAACCTTCAACTTATACATCACGTTATACTCTGAAACCACTCTAATGCTGCAACCCTACAAAACCAAGTTATTCTGATACATTTCCACCCTAAATACAGAGCAACAATGTCCCCATGCGCAGGGCACGAGGGGTCACTGAATGTTTTGAGAAGTATGGAAATTAGGTGGAAAGAATCAGGAAGCAAAAGGTAGATCAACTGTAGCAAAGAGGAAAAAACAAACCAAAGAGGTGAAGCACGAGGTCAGATGGCAGCAATCCTACATACACTATACCTGGTACTGTGTAACTGACGCTGCAGCTCGATGATGTAGTGATGTAGGACACAGAAACAACGTGGTTTGCTTCAGTCTTGATACAATCGTGTACCAGCTCCCACTGACGAGATAAAAAAAAAACACTATTAGATTTCTCTTCATTAAACCATCTTCAGTGTGTTTGAGGGAAAATTCATCTTACCGCAGCAAAAGTAGTGTTGCTGTGTGGTTCTGCGACACCCCTGTCACACTTGACTCGATTTTCACTGCGTTTTTTTTCAATGCCACACTAAGAAAGAGAGAATATAGGAGGAGAAATCTTCTTTAACTACTATGAACTGCAGGCTCATGATGACATTTTGCATGTATGCAGTCTGGGGCAGTTCCAAAGAGAAAATTCAAACCTTTTGCTGTTTCCTTTGTTTCAAAGTAGGCCAAATTACATCTTTAGATTTTGAGAGGATTTCAATCTTCAGGCATTTAGAGAAGTCTGAAAGAAAGCATTGAGACATACGTTTGTCAGACATGCAGCAACGACAGCGTTAGAGTTGATGAAATGTGGACAAAATGGACTTTGCAGCTATGGTTCGACTCCTTACCCTCAGCCTTCATCCAAACACGGACAGTGACACATTCAGAGTAAATCATCGTAGAGTCCTGGGGCAGGACTGGGGTCAGTTTCACAGGACAGTCTCCCTCAACATAATCTGCACAGACAAGAGAAGAGCATCAGTGACACTTACGACTCTTACTTATGATGCTAGGAGAATCATTGTGGTGAGATCAATAACAAAACTTACCATTTTGATTTGCCATCTAAAGTACAGAAAAGACAAAGACAACATAAGTTTAGGATATCAAGCATTCACAAAACTGCACATGCATTTGCACATTTACATCCATACGTCACTTTAAATAAAAAAACGAAGTTCAGTTAGGGTTCTGGATGCATATTGTACTTTTAACTCCACTACAATTATTTTTCTGACTTTACAAAGTAAGATTTTTGCACACAAACCATATGAAAATATCTGAAATGTCAGAGAATAACTGTAGTTTGGGAAATGGCATGTAAAGAGCTTGAGTACATACTTGCAGTCGTTTGGTGCTTTATCTAAGTCAATTTTCTGAAGAAAATGTCATTGTTAGTGATAAATATTTGAACAATTTAAAGCTAGTAGCAAGCAAGAAAGCTATCATGAAGAACTTGGGTGAAGAAACACCACCGACGAAACAGCAATGGCTGACAACTGTGGAAGAAATCTTTTAAATGGAGAAGCTGACTCACATACTGAAACTACAAGAAGCTCGACGAGAAAGAAAACAGGAAAAATTGACTCTATACAAGACTCAGAAAGACAGCACTGGACTGGAATAATGATCAATAGGTATACCAATCTTTAAGGCTGTAAAATGTGTGTTTACCAAGGCAGTTTTTGTTTCCTTAGCTCTTGTTATTTGCCAATTATTTTATTATTCTGTTGTAACTGACATGTCAATGCCATAAAAAATGTTTTAATAAAGATTTAAGTGACAGTCAGTGCCTTAGTTTAGTGTATTTGATTTATTAGGGGATATTGTGCAATGACACTAATCATTTACAAGAAATGGAAACAGGGTTGCATCAGACTTCCATCTATAGTCCTGCACATTACAAGTAGACGCAATAAATAAGAATAAAACTTAAGGTTCAATGCAGACAACAGTAAATCCACGTGCCTAATATAATAGAGGCAGTATGTACACACTGCATGGTACAAAATACAATATAGAATGCACAATTACTAGGTTATAAAATGACCAGATTGCATGCAGGGACATTCATGGCTCCTGCTCCTCAAATATAAGGACCTGCTGCTTTTATTTTATTTTATGCATTGAGTGCTGTTACTTTAAATGCTTGATTGCATTATCCAGATTGTATTGAGCAACACAGATTGAGTAACATCTTCAATGCAGGACTTTTGCAGCGTGGCATTAATACTTTAACTGAAGCAAACTGGACTGAATGCTTCCTGCAGCAGTGTTTGGATGTAATAATTTTAATAAAATATTAAAAACATTCACAGAGATTTCTCCCCTGTGTTGAACTCACCTGACATATTGTGGTGCATTCCAGCAGCCGCGCACACACCACGATGGCGATGAATGCCAGCGCGGCGCCAAAACGCATTTTAAACATCTACAGCACCTGCAACACCTGTAACACGGGATGTGTTCGCATTATAAAAGTCAGCATTGTGTCCTCTCATGAAGCCGTAGCTCCTCCGCTAGTCCATGAAGTTAGTTTCTGCTGTTAGAGAGTTCAAACCTGTCCAACATGTAGCCCGTGTTGAGCCGCTGTGTGTTGGAGCGCACTCCCTGAGGAAGCGCACACATGAACGTCGTCCTGTCAGCCACTCCGAGCTGCCTGCTTGTTTTGTCTGTCTCTGTGACTAAACCCTCGGGGGCGTTTGTTAGAAAAACATTTTGCATGAATGATCACGGCCCCCTCAGCTCCGCCTCCCAGACAGCGGGAGAAGAAAGGCCAGCTTTGACAGCCAGCCCAGTTTCATCTCCCTGAGGCCTTAACAGTAAATAATACTCCCACAGGAACGCGGTGCTCGTAAACCTGGTGGGTTTATACTAATGAAGAATGACACCTCCTCACCCAACATTGTTTGTACCAGCTGTCAGGAAGTGATGCTAAAGGGCACCAAAGGTCTCTCTTTGATAGTCATTCTCTCACAACTGTTTCCAATAATACTACAATTTCACCTTGACACCTCCCACCTTCACTCATTCATACAGTGTCTATAAAAAGTCATCACCACTCCTGAGAGTTGTCATGTTTTTTTTTACAATGAATCAGTAGATTTCAGGCGTATTTTTGATACTACAACAGAAAAATACCCTTTTAGTGAGAGTGAAAACATATCTATTGTGTGAAGCTTGTGTGCAGTGGCGCCCCCAAGGAGGGACCAGGGGGGCAGGACCCTTTCTGACAATTGAAGATCAACATCATTGTCTTTAAAGCCCAGTCCAGACCAAAGATTCGTGATGAGACAAGTTGTAACAGGCAACTACTTGCAATGCGCCGTTCTTTAACGGTCTAAAAACCTGCCCATTCACATCAATGCAAGATGAGACAGTGTATCATCTCTGTGCAACAACTCTCTGTACCTGTGCTTAAAGGCTCAGGTACACCAAACCAACTTCAGAGATCTACCAGCGACGAAGGCCCCCTGCTGCGTCACATCACGTTGCTGTATCTCGTCCAAAAAGTTGCACATGAACACACCAAGCTAACGGCCAACAAGCATGTATGTTCTGCATACATGCTGCGTGAGATGATATCCTCCTCCACAATGTCTGTGATTGTCATAGTAAAAGGGAAACTGGAAGAAGGTCTTGATGCTAGTTAGCCAGTTAGCACATTAACAACACCATTTAATGTTGGAGGAACAGAGCATACTTTACGTGAGCCAGTGAACAATAACACAGACCATCAGGGAACGTTTCTGCTTAAGAGCTCAGTGGCTGAAGAAAAAATAATCTTGCCTCATAAAGTTTGTTTTGGTCTCAGTCCCTCTTCACTTTAGCTTTTTGTTTACTTTCCTCATTTCCGTGTCTCTTCTGGTGCGCTGAGCTGCCAATCAGAGTGATTTCATTCACCGACCGGCTACACTTTGCTTACGCTGATTCAAGATGTTGAATCGACAAAAAAAAAAGCCAACAGAGGGCGACGAGGGCAGCAGACACTTACCGAGGACCAAACTTTGACCAACAGCGACCATCGGCTTGGTGTGTCAGGGTCTTAGGAGGCTGTGGTGTGCACATTTTTAAGCTAACAGGAAGGCAGTGGTTTCTGGTGAAACGACACCACCTAAGACATCCATTGGTACCGACCATGTCGGCATAACTTGTTGGGAAGGGGGAAAAATAATACAAATTTAAGCTAAATTTTGGCGAGGGAACAACTGGCAATGCCATTTTAAAAGGGGTCCCTTAAACATCTGTAAATGTCAATGGGTTCTATGAGCCTTATATGCCTACAAGTCTCCCCTAAATCTGAGAAGGCTTGTAAATATTTTGTTCATTATGCTGTGTTCACACTCCTGCTGACAACACAACAGCATACACAGCTGCATTATAGCTGAGTCACAGTTGAAGTTTTGCTCAAGTGTTTGTTTATCTAGTTACGTGATCACGGGCTTGTGTGCGTTGGCTACTTGCCACATAGCACCTCCACTGTACATCACCTAAAGTTTGTATTTGGTCACACAAATATCCGTTCTTTTAATCAATGTCTGAGCCCCATTTTGACATCACATTTCGCCGGCCCATTGCATCTGCATGTGCATTGCAATGCACATTAAGTTAGACTAACATCAGCCCATTGTGAAAAAGTTGAGCCAGCTCAACTTTGGTTTGTAGCGTGCCCCCGTCGGCAGCATCAATTGTTGGGCATCATTTTGCAGCCTCATGTCACTGGCACCCATTGAAAATGAATTGTAGCCATTTGCAGTGTCGCTCCTAATGTGAACACTGCATTACAGTCAATGAACAAGTCAATGAATAGATACATCAGACATTAAAACAAGATACACTGCCTAAAAATGTAGGGAACCACAATTTAGATCTTGATGAACGAATTATTCAAGTTGAAAATATTTACTGATGTACATTGTGTAATTCATTCATGACTTAACAACAGCCAGTGGAAACCAAAATCATCAACCCACTGAGGGCTGGATTCAAAATCACACCGAAAATCAGAGTAAAACATTGATGCAGCTTGCCTGAATTTTATCATGGCAATTCATAATGTGACTCAGTAGTGTGTAAGGCCCCTGTGTGTCTGTGTGCACTCCTGACATCGTCTGGACATGCTCCTGATGAGTTGGTGGATGGAGTCCTGGGGGATCTCCTCCCAGACCTGGATCAGGGCATCACTGAGCTCCTGGTCTGTGGCGGTCTCTGGCGGTCCTTGGCGGCGTCAAATGCACCCATACATAACACCTCATAGGTGCTGAATTGGGTTTAGGTCAGAGGAATGAGAGGGTCAGTCAGTGGCATCAATGCCTTCGTCATACAGGAACTGCCTACACATCACAGCCACATGAGGCCGGGCATTGTCCTGCACCAGGAGGACCCCAGGGCCCACTGCACCAGCGTAAGGTCTGACAATTACTCTGAGGTTTTCATCCTGGTACCTAACAGCAGTCAGAGTACCGTTGGCTATGACATAGAGGTCTGTGTGACCCTCCAAGGATATGCCTCCCCAGACCATCTCTGACAAACAGCCAAACAGGTCATGCTGGATGATGTTACAGGCAGCATATTGTTCACTGCGGCGTCTCCGCCTGTCATGTGTGCTCAGTGTGAACCTGCTCTCATCTGTGATACCAACTGTCTGTGGCCACCACATGTAAAACCATTTCCTTTTTGGGGGTTGTCTTGCTTTTGCCTCTCCACTGCACCTGTTGTCACTTTCATTTGCACCAAAGCAGCTGAAACTGATTCACAATCACTTGTGCTTCCTAAATGGACAGATTGATATCCCTGAAGTTTAACGGACTTGGTGTAATACTGTGACGATTACGTGTTCCTCTAATTTTTGTGAGCAGTGTAGCTGTGGAACTCAAAATATCCGGCTGTTAAGGCCTTTGCACACCGAGTCTGTTTTTTGGTGCAAAATTGATGCACTTCTAAAAATGATATCAAAATCTTTTAGAGAGTTGTTTCACCAAGAATCAGTGAAGAAAATTTGGCAGCAGAGAGGAACAGGTCGCACAGTATCCTTTCATTACTCAGATAGACTACCTTTAACAATTCAGATAGTGATATTCAGGTGAATAATGATGACGAGGAGAACCGTGTTGAGACAGGGAGGGAGGACAGCTCCGCCCCTTTAGCTGCTGTGCCAAATGCAAGACATGGGGAGAGAGTGGTGACAGCCAGATAGGTAACTCAAGTGGAGAGAAGCAAGGGAAGAAATGTGTCTTTTCATTTTGTCAAAAGCTTTTGGTCTGCACATCAGATAAGTAGTAACAATAACTGTGAAATAGGAACCCAAAATACATCAGCATGTGATCCCATAACTCTTCATATTAACACTGACAGCAACAGCAGTAGAATTTCTGAAATTCAGTTATGGCTCTTGGTTTTGGTGTGCCACCCCAGATTTCCAGTGGCTTCATCTGGTCAACCCTATGAAAATTTCCAGGGGAGCTACTGCTTGTGTGTAGATGAACTGGAAAGCCCAAACAATGACTTTAATTAAGGTGTGCAAATCCTAGTGTTTGACAGAAAGGGTGTTGTTTATTTATTCTCAACATTTGGGGGGACACACATAAAGCTCGGGAGGTCTGCGGATCCTTCAACAACAAATTTTAGCAGCAAGCGTCTGACCAGAAGATGCAAGTGGATCTAAAGAGGAAACTTGTCATTCACCTCGATCCGGCCAGACATGGTTCTACTACCCAGGAGAACAAAAACCATCTTAGTAGTCGAACTCACTGTGCCCTGGGAGGACAGGCTAGCCACCTGTTACCAACTGAAGAAAGCAGAGTACCAGGATCTGATTGATGAAGCTCTCGACAAAGGATGGCACGCAACCATTTTCCCATCGACGTTGGCTGCTGCCGGTTCCTAGCAACATTGATGCCCTGTTTCCTCCAGAGGGTCAACCTGGAGCCCAAACATCTGAAGAAAGCCACCAGTGAGATAGCCTTGGCAGCTGAGACCAGCTCAAGATGGTTGTGGTTGATGAGAGCCCACAGTTGGAACCCTTCTGCCGGTGAAGGCTAATCGGTCTTCAACTGCCCCACTCAGGCGAGACGTACAGGCTAAGGGCCGAAACACTTCTGACTCTGAGATACCTATTGATGATGCAGAAGGGTTTGCTTGTAGCAAAGCATCTTTGATGTTTACTTCACCTTATGCGTCAGACACTTCATTTCCTGCATTCTGGTGAATTTTCTTCCACCAATTTGTGCCTTTTCTGCATCAGTTTATGGGAGAAATGTCACAGTACTTCCTGCTACAACCCTAGTTGCTTCATTTTCCTTGCATTTTATGGCAGATTGCATCTGTTGCTTTTGAGGTTGTTACTGGAGGCATCATTGCATCTATGAGTTGCATTCTTTATATTTGCATCTACGCATTTGTGTGGAATTATCTACTTGTACTTGCCTTGTCAGCCAATAAAGATACATAACATGAGCGCATAAAAGACTGCGCTGGTTTAGATTCATTAGCTGCTGTGGTATGACCTACATTATCTGATCCGTGAGGTCTTATAACCACACTGAACACACACAGATAGCCCATGCATTATCGTGTGTTTACAGAGAGGATTCAGCATGTTGGTAGATACAGTTGAAACGGAAAGATAAAACAGGGCTTTGGTAGAAAAAAAACAGGTTTCCAAAACACCATAAGGTCATAGGCTCCCATGTTAAAAGCATTGTGTCGAAACCACTGACTGATGCTTATCAGTTGTTTCCACTCGCAGAGCGCCGCTCAGGGCAGGAAAC